TGGCGATGATGATGATGCTGATGATGATGCTGATGATGCTGCTGATGATGATAGTGATGATGATGTTGTTGATACTGATGGTGCTGATGATGACGATGAGGAGGAGGAGGAGGCGGAGGAGGAGGGGGACGAGTGCATAGAAAGTGCCAGGAGGAGGGGGTTGGATCACGTAGGAGCAGTGACGGGGAAAAGACCACGCAGATGACCATCTGTTTGTTAGAAAGAACGCAAGGCCCGCCTTGTAAATCAAGGGTGGAAGAGGGAGGAGCAGGTGTACCTGCCCCTCCTCGAACTGATCCAGAAAAGCTGCTCCTTTGGGGGTGGGCTTCTTACGTTACGACAGGGAAAGGAAATGAGAGGGGAGAGAGATATGAGAAGCAGGAGGATGAGGAGGAGGATTAGTAGGATGCGGAGGGAGGAGGAGGAAGAGGAGGAGAGAATGATGATCGGACGATGACAAGGAAAAGAGGAGGAGGAGGAGAAGGAGGAGAAGGAGGAGTATGAGGAAGAGTCGAGGAGGAGCCGAGGAGGAGTCGAGGAGGAGGAGGACAGGGGAAGGGAGGGGAAGATGTGGGATGATGATCATGGCGATGGTGATGGTGATGGCGAGGGTGAGGGTGATGGTGATTGCGATGGTGGTGATGGTGATGGTGGTGATGGTGATGGTGATAGTGATGGTGGTGATGGTGATGGTGATGGTGATGGTGATGGTGATGGTGATGGTGATGGTGATGGTGATGGTGATGGTGATGGTGATGGTGATGGTGATAATGATGATGGGTGACGGTGACGATGGTGGTTTTCATGGTGATGATGACGATGATGGTGATGGCGATGATAGTCGTGGTGGTGATGATGATGATGATGGTGATGATGATGATGATGATGATGATGATGATGGTGTTTGTGATGGTTGCGGCGATGGCTATGGCAATCGTGATGGATGAAGGATGGCTGTATGATGGATGGCTGATGACTGATCATGGATTGTGGTGATCATACTGATGATGATGATGATGATGATGATGATGATGATGATGATGATGCTGTTAATGCTGGTGCTGACGCTGATGATGATGATGAGGATGATGATGGTGATGGTGATGGTGATGGTGATGATGATGGTGGCGGTGGTGGCCGTGATCACGCCGTTGATGTTGATGGCGATAATGATGGTTATGATGAGGAGGAAACGGATGATGATGATAGATGAGAAGATGATGGTGGTGTTCATGATGACGGTAGTGATGATCATGATGCTGGTGATGATGATGGTGATGTTGTTTATGATGATGATGCGATGTTGGTGTTGCTGCTGATGTTGATGCTTCTGCTGATGATGATGAAGACGATTACGATGATTACGATTCTGCTGCTGTTGCTGGCGATGATGATCATGCTGATGATGATGATGATGATGATGATGATGATGCTGATGCTGATGCTGATGCTGGTGTTGCTGCTGCTGCTGATGCTGCTGCTTCTGATGATGATGGTGATGATGATGATGCTGATGATGCTGATGATGATGATGCTGATGCGGATAATGATGCTGATGATGCTGATGATGATGGTGATGATGATGATGATAATGACGATGATGATGATGCTGATGATGATGATGATGATGAGGATGATGATGATGATGATCATGATGATGATGATGACGACCAAGCTGTGGCTGCGCACTACTGATACTCTCTCCTCCGCCTCGCCAGCGCGTGACTGACTCCAATCGCGCTCTGCTCAGGGAGGGGGCTCTTGCCCTCTGCAAGTTCGAGCACGGGCGGGTCAGACAGCCCAGGGATGCGAGCAGGTCCCAGAGCCACTCGGAGCGCTCCAGGCATGGCTCTGGGGCGGCCGCGCCGCCGGATACATCCCCCGCTGTCCCTCGGTTGTCTTGGAGGTGGTCGCGCACGACTCTGCTCGCATCCTGCCCTCGCCGAAGCAGGGGTGATGGGAGAGAGGAGGTAACAAGCACCACCAGGCGTCCGCACCTCCAATATCTTGAGCCCACATCATCTCGGTGGCCTCGGCGAGAAACGGACACACCGAGGCCCGGCCCCAAGACGGACCTCATGGCTTGGGAGTTGCGCAATGGGGGGGCGATAAATGGAGGGCGGGCAGCGAGCGCTGCAGAAAAGGGACCCTTTAGGGCCCCTCAAGGGGTCCTTTACGTAGGGCCCACAAGGAGGCATTTAGGGACTGAGAATTGCACTTTTCTCCCCCCCCTTATCGCCACCCCATGTTAGCACCCTAATGCCCGCCTGGTGGTGATTCACTCCTTCCCTTTTCCCAGGCGGAGCGGGGGGGGGGGGGGGGGGGGAAGGCGAGGACGGTCCTCCACCGCCGCCTCCGCCGCCTCCCCTCGCGCGACGCGGGCCCGCGCCCGCGACCGCGGCGGTTGCCTTCGCCGCGTGCCTCCGCCTCCGCCTCCGCCTCCGCCGCCACCTCCGCCGCCGGCCCTCCGCTCGTCGCCTCCGCTGCGGCCCCCCGCCTCCGCCGCTGCCCCCCCCCCTCGCTCCGCCGCTGCCCCCCGCCGCCGCCGCCTCCGCTGCCCCCCGCCGCCCCCCAGTCGTCCGGCGCGGCGGCGCGGGCCCGCCACGCGCGGGTGCGCACGCGCGGTTGCGCACGCGCGGCTGGCCCGCGCCCGCTGCGCGCGCGCGCGCGCCAGGAGTGGGCCAAGGCGCTCGAGCTGTTCCGGCAGGCGCCGCGACAGGGTCGGGGCTTGGCGGGGGCGGCGCCACGCCCCCGAGGGGCTTGTTCCCGGGGGGGGGGAAGAACGAGGGAGGCAGGGAGGGGGGAGAATGACCATGATAATGTCCCACGAAGCGATAATGTCCCACGAAGCGATTTTTAAGAGCCTTACATCTGGGAAAAGGCGAGCTCCGTGTAGGCCCCTGACGGGCCTCTATCTCGGCCTTGCCCAAGACTGGGGCAGAGACAGCGGTGGATTCGCTTCAAATTCGCAACCCCTGTCGGTGTGGCTTTTAACTTATTCACTGTGCTGGTCCGATAGATGGTGAAGCTGCCAGGCAGGGAGGGGGGAGGAGGGAGGAGGACGACGGGAGGAGGGGGGCAGGGTGGGGGGCTGAAGGAGGAGGGACCAGGGGGGAGCGATGGATATAGGTAGGCAGGAAACAGGAGGGGATGGAAGAGGGGAGGGAAGGAGGCAGGGAGGTCGGATGGGGAACGAGTAGGAATAGGTTTATCGACGATGCCGACTACTGCGACGATCACGAGGACGACCAGGATGAACCAGCGGAGGACAAGCTTCTTCTCCTCGTCCTTTCTCCAACGTCTTCGCCCCTCATCCCGTTCCCCTTCCCTCTTCTCCCTCCCCTTTATGGCGACGTCGACCACGATCACGACGACGACGACGCCAACGACGATGGCGCCAACGCCAACGCTGACGCCAACGCCGCCGGCGCCGATGCCTGCCTCCACCCCCTCCCTCGCTCCCTCCCTCTTTCCCTCCCTCCCTTCCTCCCTACGACGACGGCCGCGGCCACGGCCACGACCACGACCACGACCACGACGCCAGTGACGACGGTGCCAACGCCAACGCCACCCCCGACTCCAGTGCCGCCGACGCCGACAACAGCGGCCCGGGCGGCGCCTCCGGCGCCCCAGGTTCTGCGGCGCGCCTCGCCCTCTGCCTCGAGATCTAGCATGCGGCTGCGCTGCGGCCCCGCCTGGCAGTCGTGGCGCTCTGCCGTCGTCCTCGGAAACGGAAGGATGGGGAGGAGGACAAGCTAGGTGCGCTCGCGTCAGATCTGACATCCTACCCCTCCCTCCCATCCCTTACCATGGCGCAGATCCCCTCTCTACTCGCTCAGTCGGATGTCGAGCAGGGCAATGATCCCGAAAGGGCACGCGATGCATTGTAGAGCACTGCATGGCATGGCGTAGAAGAGCACCGCAAAGCGTAGTAGCAACCTAGCATTGCATTGCAGGCCGTGGCATGGCCCGGGAAATGACGCCAGCGCTGCATCGGGAGCACGAGTCGAAACGCGCGGAAGCGCGGAAATGAGGCCAGCGCTGCAGCGGGAGCACGATTCGGAATGAGCGGAAGCACGGAAATGAGGCCAGCGCTGCAGCGGGAGCACGATTCGGAATGAGCGGGGCCCGAAAATGAGGCCGGCGCCTCAGCGAGAGCAGCATTTTGGAAACAAATGCTGGCGAAAACCCAACTCCGGGGAAACCTGTGTGTAAAAAAACAGTACGCGGGGGTTTGTCGGCCACTTTCAACCGTCATCAGGGGAAGAGGGAGAGTAGTATTCATATTGAGTAATTGGTGGAGGAGGAGAGGAGGACGGAGAGCAGGGGGGAGAGGAGGAGGAGGAGGAGGAGGAGGGCGACGGTGACTGTGATGGTGATGGTGGTGACGGTGAGGAGGACGAGGAGAAGGAAGAAGAGTCAGGGGCACCGCCGTCGTCCTCGAAACGTCGGGGGCAGCCAAGTTGATGACTCTAGGGGGGATGTCATGGCGGGGGCCCGGATTTTTCCCCAGATTTCATGGCCCCTCTTCTCGTGTCAATGCGCTCCATGCCCCACCTTGGTCCGCGCACATGCCTCGGGACCTCAGGCCATATATTGCGAACCCCTTCTTGGACGCCCCCGTCTTGGACGCCGCCGAGACAGGGATGACGACGACGATGAATATGATGATGATGATGATGATGATGATGATGATGATGATGATGATGATGATGATGATGATGATGATGATGATGATGATGATGATGATGATGATGCTGATGCTGATGCTGATGCTGATGCTGATGCTGATGCTGATGCTGATGATGATGATGATGATGATGACGGTGATGAGGATGATGACGATGATGACGATGATGACGACGACGACGACGACGACGACGATGATGATGATGATGATGAGGAGGAGGAGGAGGAGGAGGAGGAGGAGGCCCAGGAAGGGGACGAGTAGGAGGCGGAGGCATAAAAGAAGAAGGAGGGAGCAAAAGCATGAAAAGCAGGATGTGGACGGGAGGAGGATACGGCACCAGCTGGCGGACGCCGCGCTCCAAGATGAGCGCCAGGCGCGCTCGGAAGAGGGAGCAGTCACGCGTGACCGCTCCATGCCTGTCAGTCGCCACGCCCCCACCGAAGGATCACGGGGCGAGGCGCAAGCAGAAGTAAAGGTAAAGGCAAAGAGGGAGGAGCAGGCAAGATGCGCCCCGGTAAAGTGCACACCTCCTGCGCTGCTCTCTTTTTCGGTCCCAAAATTGTGGCTCTGCAAGGGTCTGACCCAGTGGGCTTCCGGGTCCGAGCCCAAAAGGGGCCGAGGGGCCGAGATTCTCCGAGAATCCGCTCGCCCTTCATTTGTGGGATGGAACACAGCCAAAAACTGGCGACGATTCCTCTGCGCCCTCTGGCCAACAGTACCAGAGGAGCAGTCTAAGAGCAGATGCCCTGCCGTGCCCGTAGTGTAGGAACCGCAGAAAACGCACAACACGACATGGGACGGGGCCACCCTGAGCCCATGGCCCCTGGCAGCCTCCGCAGGGACGGGCCCGTGGGACGGAAGGGGCCGTGCAGGCGCCAAGGGCAGGTCTGTAGTTCCCGCCTTCGCTGCCTGGCTTGCGACGCTTTTCGGGCTTGAACACAAGGCCTTCGCGATCTGAGTAGTAGTAGTAGTAGTAGTAGTAGTCGTCGTCGTCGTCGTCGTCGTCGTCGTCGTCGTCGTCGTCGTCGTCGTCGTCGTCGTCGTCGTCGTCCGTCGTC